TGCTCAGAAGACTGTCTTAACAGTGAATATTCATAAATTTGCGGTCAAGTTTTTCCCAAGTGATTGCCTAATGATGGGTTTTGGGTTAGGGAGTATCGGTATGCTGTTTAGGTACGGGGAAACAACACCTCATCCCCTTTGTCTAGGAATAACCACTATTGAATATAAACTGTGCTGACTTCATACCCTCGCTTCTTAAAGTGACTTGTTTATTTTTAAATTACTTAGTAGGTGACAACTTGTCATTTTAACAATTGCCATGGAAACTACGTGCTTTCAATTTTTACTTGCTGTACACTGTTGTCAGGAATGTGAAAACAGTCATGAATTCCTCTGAATACAGCAAAGTTTTGTTTTGTTTTGTTTTTTAATAATCTGTCCTGGATTGTTTTTCTCCAAGGCATGACAAACTTTAGCTATAAATAAGCTACTTGAAATCTCACAGCCCACTCTGGGTTCCTCTTGCTGATGGGATCGCGAGCTGTAAGCAACAGAGCAGCATGAAGAGAAAGTCTAACTACTACCTGTGATCCTGGGATGTCAGGAAAAAGGCAGCATTGTAGTTCCAGTCCTTGGGACTTTGAATTGGAGCTAGGGTAAGGAAGAAGATGCCCACACTTGCCAAAGAGCCATGCGTTAAGGATGTCATTTGAGTGGTCTGGGACAGAAAAGGAGGTGTTGTCCCACACAGACCTGTAGGAGGACATTGCTGTGCACGTGGACCCTTCCTCACAACGCTCACTGGGGTCCCTCCAATCCGCAACAAATCTGCAGGGTATGCTCCAGGGTACATGAATCTGCTGTTGCAACAAATCTGCAGGCTACGCAACAACAGCAACAGGTTTAAAATTACTGTCATTTGGCACGGTTCTTGAAGGCATCCAGCCTTTCTACAATTTTTGTAAGCCATCATCATCAGCTTATACAGCAAGCACTATCTCTGAAGTTTGCCAGTTTTGTGATCTTTCTGCCATCATCCATACTGATTGTATTTGTAGAGTGAATTCAGTAGGACGTATCATCTTAAGTCTTTAGTGGAGGTTTGGCAGCAGGATCAGCAGCAGAAAGATGAATGCCTCTATGAAAAGATTCTTTTGAGTCCTGGTATGTCAGGATTTTGTGCGTGCTTTGGCATCAGCAGGTTCTAGTGGCAATGAGTTCCATGTGTAATATTTGCTATGCAGAGAAAATTTCTTCCTCTTAATTTTGCATTTATCTTTGATTGAAGAGCCCCTTGTTGTTAGGAGTCAGACAGAAAGGGATTTGCTGGCTTCTACTGATGCATTGTTGGTTGTTTTAGCATAGGTCCTCTTATATGTCTTCTTCCTCAAGTCATCCATCCTGGTGGCTTCTGACTTTCTCCATAGGAGAACTTGATTGTTCTTACTGCCTGACTCTCCTGTTTTTTGCCAGCTCAGCCTTAAATGGTGGCACTAACTATGACTCTTCTTTCATAATCATGTACTATCCATCAACACATTCTGCCTCAGGATGTCTGCTCAGCTGGTAGACGTCTGATAAATTACATGCTAAACCTAGGTACTTCCAGAAAGATGTTCGTATCTGTCTGTCTGTCTCAGAGTCTCTTGGTAGGTTATTAAAGTATTTTCTACTTCAGTCCTCCTAGCTGATAGAAGAAATGTCTGTTTCTACTTTTCTTTTTTAAATTGGGTGAGGCAGATCACTCTCTGACTGCCTTGTTATTGTTTACTATGCTCTCAGTTCCTGCCAACCACAGATATTATTGCCACTAACTTGTAAAATAAATTTTCATCTTCAGTATTGATGCAAATACTGAATAGCAACAGGTCTTGAACTGATCCCTGCAGAAATCCAGTGGAAGCATCTCATTTGCTCATAGTCCCCAACTGACTCAGCAGTCTGTCAGCATATTCTGAATTCAATTACCCTGTGCTTTATTGTTTATATTGCTAACTTTTTAAAAATCAAAATTGCATGTGATAATAAGCCTCTTATGGCATCTTGCAGTACTTAAAATTTTTGTATAATAAATGAGAACTCTCTCTGGCCATTTTACTTGTAGTTTTTTGGGCCCTGAAACTAATTTGCACTGTCTCAGATTTGTTTTGCTGATGTCAGTTTTTGTTTATGCATTTGCTAAACTGTGAACAGCTGCCAAGGCACCAGGGAAGTTTTTCTGCAGAATCAGTAACAATGTTTTACAGCTAGGACAGGGTGGTGGTTTGTTTTTTTTTTTTTTCCTAAATGAATATTTTAACTGTCGCCTTATTCTTTGGGTCTTATTTCCTGTCGGCTGTCAGGTGATTTTTCTGTTCCTTTCCTTCCACTGGTTGTGTTTTGTTTGTTTTTTCTCTTGGATCTGAGAATGCTACTTTTCCAGACCAAAGATGCTGTAGCTTACCTGTGACATATAAATATCAACCTCTCAGAGCCCTGCACACCTACTCACGCACTCCTGAAGGTTTAGCTGCTGGTGTTGAAGATGGGCTCAGGCTGAGGCTCAGGCTCAAGCTTGCTGGAGGTGTGAGGCGCAGGCATGGCTGCGATGTAGCTTGGGCAGGGACCAAGGGTGAGGACCTGAGTGTAAATCATCTCCCAAGGAAGAGGAGGCTCCTTTCAACTCCTCTCACAGCTCTGCTGTTTTGCTAGCGGTCTGATCCACGGTTACGCGGCTGCACCATTGCAAACCTGGCCTTGAGCACCGGCAGCCAAGCCCCGAGGAGAGAGTGGTTGTGCACAGGGCCAGACACAGCCCTGTTGTGGGCTCTGGACATTTCCCTTTGGTTAAAAATAACAGCCTGTGTTATTACTGGCAGACTAACCAATTTCAGATTGCTCCACAGCTAAGTTTTTTGATGTCCAAGATGATTGATACTAGTTCAATTACATAATTAGTTCATGAGAAGTTTAGGGAAATTTGGAATTTTTCAGAGTCTGAGACCATTTGTTTTAGCATTAGTGGTGTGGGCTTGAACTCCTAACCAGATGGTTACAGATCTGCAGATACAGTGGACATTAAAGGGAGATGACATCAACTTGAATAAATAAGTTAATGAATAAATATTGACGAACACATGAAAGTTGTGATGAAGAAGTCTGCAAGGATGATGCTTAAAGATGGTCTGGTGAAAGGTTTTTCTTTGGGAACTGTGCATTCTCTGACAGAAAAAAGGACATAACTTACCTTTTCAGCAAGCAAATAGCATTCTTTTGAATTTCTTTTTGGTAATTTAGGATAGGCTATTAGTAACAAGAGGGATTTTGGTGTTGGTGATACTCCCTACTACTTGGGCTGGGAACTGTCTTTTGTTTATTTTCTCTCCATTTGCTTTTCATCACCTGCTCCATCCTTTAAAAAAAAAAAAAAGCAGCTTTTCAATTGTACATCCTGTTTTATTTTGGTGTTTTTTTTCCTGTTATGCTGATCCTCTGCTCCAGCACTCATCTCACCAGCAGTATCTCACCATAGGGCTGCAAAGTCAATGGTACGTATCCAACCTCAGCTGTCCTCTGTTTTTTAAATCTGCGAAATGGTTCATCAGTGCTCTTACCAGTGTTCAGGCACCACGGGATGCAGAGCAAGCCTGGGGAAGACTGCAGTGGGGAGGGCAGGTGGGAGAGAGAGGAAGGGATAAATTCCGGTGAGCCTGCATCACAGCCAGCATGCTACTTTTTGGGTTGGGATGGGGCAACTAACTTGCTTAGAGTGTGTTTTCATAAAGGTATTTACTGTTTCACTAGTGCCTCATTATCAGAATAAAAATACTGAATTTAGCAAATTCTTCAAGGTATTCAAATGCCTCTTCCTTTTGCATCTTGGTAAAATGAAAAAGTATTAGAGTTTTGTATGCTGTTTTTTTTCCACTGGACCTATTAATCTGTCTGTTCCAAATTTGCATTTACACAAGGATTGTGAAGGTATGAATTTGTCTTGTAACTGGTGAACTGCTGTAGAGATGGTGACATTTCAGTAGTGAAACTTTCTCTGTGTTTGTGGTTCTTGCATAAAGCATTGGCAAATCTGTGTTTGCGGTATGAAGTGTATGTCTCTCCTAACCTGTGTGCTCTGTCAAAGTTCATCTTCCAAGTGTGACCTTTCTAGTAAAAAGGTTACAGCAATACCTGTAGAGCTAAAACTCATTCCGCATTAACATCATCTTTTTGTAATTTCAGAATATGTATGGAGCAGTTCAGGCACTGCGGTAATTACAAACAGTAAGGTTGTGGTTATATGATCCTGTGCCAACTGCTTTGCATATTTGCAGCACCACAGAAAAGTATTTTTGAATTTTTTTTTATTATTATTATTTACCATTGGACAATTTGTCACATCTGATTACTTCTGTTTACAGTTCTCTTGACTATGTCCCTTAGCTCAAGGCAGTGTTTAGTTTTTTAAAAAAAGCAACCACAAACCAGAGCACAGTCTGGTAGCATTCTAAACCAGAAAAGGGGTCTTCAGCTTCCTTCCAGGCTTCATGTAGGGTAGCAGCACAAATGTTCCAAGAAGCCAGTTGTAAGCAGCTAAGTAGGAATTTTTCCAGAATTAGGAGGAAGTTTCTAGGTAAGAAAAAGCTGGCATTATGTCCTGTAGGCATGTGCATGGGGATGTAGCTGCAGTGCCAGTGTGTCCGGAGACTCCTAGTTCAGTGGGAGGCTGGGTGTTCTACAGGCTGCTTCGCAGGAAGGGGAGATGCAGACATGACCCCTTCTGCTACCAGTGTAATAGCAGCTCTTTGTGGCTGTCTTCTCGTTCGCATGTCCATTTCTCCTGTTTTTTAAGTAGCAGGTAGTATGTGCTGTGTTCATGCAAGAGATTGTGCCTGAAGCTTGTGAATTTATTCCTGCAAGTGAATACGCTCACGGTAGTATTATTTTGAACAAAACCTTCTTTAAATTCTTACTTGAAATTACTTCTGTTGCTGTACTACCACTACTGTTATGTGTTGAAGCCTTGAACTGTCAAGGAATTATGAGGTATTTTTATCCTGTGACATTTTAAATTATTCTCTCCATAGGGGAAGCCTGTGGGAACGCCAGATGCTGGTGCCTATTTCCGTGTGCTAGCAGAGCATGAAGTAGCTGCCTTCTTTACTTCACCAACTGCAATTAGAGCAATCCGTCAGCAGGACCCTGAGGCAGCCTTGGGAAAGCAGTACTCTCTGAAAAGGTGAACTAAGGATACACTGGAAGCAGTTTCTTACAGAAACAGGCTGGATGAACTAAGAATAGCAGAGTGTCTGGGGCTTTGCCCACCTCTGTATAGCAGAATTTAAATGTGTTCTTGACAATTTACGTGTACGTGTATTTGCTTGTAAATTTATATTGAGAATTTGGAGGAGATGAAAGCTGTTAAAAAGATTACGGCTGTAAGGTTAAGAGCTCTTACTGAGTTAGGATTGTTCGCTCAACCTTGATTTTACTCCACTGTGCTTATACCCGGTAATACAGTCTTGGATTACATGATCCTGTACTGTTTTCCCACATGACCTCTCATTTCATTGGGTGCACAGGATCTCTAGTGTTTGTTTAATCAGCAGCTAGTCAGTGTTTAGTTTATCTCCCCATAACTTAGCTATTGTTTACGGTTATGTACTCCATGACTGAGATATTTGCTATCTCATACTGTTTTTAAGGTGTTTATCACTATACTATTAGCATGCTTCAAAATCATGACCGAGTTCATCCTTACAAATCCCCTGTGAGATGAGAGAGTAGTATTATCTGTATTTTGCAGATGGGAAGCTGAGGCACAGAGAGATTAAGGTCAAAGTCTTCTATTAGTTTTGAATATCTAGTCTGAGCCACTGAACTACCACTGTTTCAGAGTTCTTAGCATTATGTGGTTAATTATGTTATATTAATAAAATACCTCTCTCGCTGACTTACATCTGTGAATGTTTAGTACTTCTACAGACCAAGTTTCTGTATCTTATGGTAAACATTCTAAAAATGCAAAATACGTAGTTTTGGACCACATCTAATCTTGACATTGAATAATTTGCTCAGCATCAAACAAGGCCTGTGTCAGACTATAGGCAGTGTTCAGTCATAAGAACATCTTTTATCACACTTGTTGAAAGAGAAGGGGAAGGTGCAAAGCCATGTAGCTTCATTAGACCTCCACATTCTTAATTGCTCAGGAAAGTTTTATTTTTTAGTCAGGTGGATTTATTCTCTGATGAAACTCACTGAAGTTTTCATTACAAGTTCATCATTACTTTCTTCCATCTGTTTTAAGTGCTAACATCAATCCTTACCCCTCCTTGAAATCAGAAACAAGCTCGTTTGAGACCCTAATGCACTGTTCTTGTGTCATGTTTATTGACAAGAAAGTGATTCAGATGCTAGAAAATGTAATTGCTGTTCCTCAGCATTTTTTAGGCAATGACTAAAATGACTTTGTCTTTAGAGTATTCATTTAATGGAAAATTTGCTAACGTACTCTGTAAGTTGTCACGTTTTCTGGCCAAATGAGAATTCCAGATAAGAGTCTTCTTGCTGATATCTGTTGCCCTAGATGTAAAGAGGTAGTTCGTCATTCCTATTCAGTACCTAGTTAATGAGCTTCTCCATTTGTCTGCAGATTTAGTTGTCTCATAATTCACTCAGCTTTGGGCCATGTCATTCCCTGGTACGTGACTTCTCTTTGCTAAACCCTCTAGTGCAGCATTTATTGTCTAGTAGGTGCAGTTGTTAAGAAATGGAGTCCAGCAGGTGATTACAATTTCCATTCTGGGAAAATCCTTGCTTTTGGGTGTTGCTTGGCTACACTTTTCCATCCAAGGTCAAGTGAATTCTGTCTGTTTCAGTTTGAAATCAATCTTAGTTTTAGTTCATTTACTTGATCTATGATGCCTTCTTCTCTGTCATATGCTGCAGAATTTTTGAAATTAGACGTCTTTCATACCTGGGCTAAGATGTATCCTTACTTACTCTAGAGACTCCAAAACACACGTCCAGGAATGCAGTCCTGAAAGAGGTTTCCACCATGGCACATTTCATTCCTGAAAAATTCTATTAAAAAACTGATAAAGGTCAATGTCACTTTTTAAAAATCCTGTTATAAAAGACAATTATTGATAAGGTACAGAGTTGGTAGCCAATGCCAGCTTCCAGTATACAAAGAACTACTTGATTTACAGAGATAAATCGAATTTATCCCACACTGTGAGAAGAAGCTGAGCTGCAGTTGTATTCTGTGTCTCTCTTGGCTCTGTCACCCAAACCTCCAGTGCTTGGATTCTCATGACCAAAGTAAAATCTGTTCGGGGAGGAAAACAAACAAAACACATCAATGGAGAAAAATCAGAAGACCTGAAAATACTTTTTATTTATTTTACATGTTTAAGTGTCTGCAGTCTCCAGGTGCATTAAGAATTAGTAATAGTTCTTTATTTCCATGTTATGTTAAGAAGTGCAAATGAACCTTCCTTGCTGTCTTTTCAGGAAAAAAAAGCTTATTTAACATGATGGAGATAGAGTTTTTCTTTGCGAGAAAAAAACTGGTGTATGCATTCCAGAATTAAAAACATTTCAGTGGCCTTTTAATTTGGAAAAGTGCAGCTCATATTATTACCCATGTGAACACTCCTGCTTTTGGGAAATGGTTTGAAGATGTGGTTTCTTTTGTGCTTGGAGTGGCACCAAAATGTACATGCCGTATTGAACAATTTAGATTGTGTGAGGGCCATTAGGGATCTTGATCTGTCCTCTGTATCAGGTGATACTTCAGGTCTGGACTCTTGAATAGGGCCTAAAATCTTGATTGTACTGAATTTTGTGTTAGGAATGTAGGTTTTCAGAACAACAGCTTAGGACATATTTATTTAAGAGAAAGGTTTTCAGATCTTTCTTCCCCATTAACTGCATTGCAGTGATAGATGATTGCAGTAACAGGTGCATTGACATGCTTTGAATTTTTAAGTAGACTCTTAAAAAATTGTTCAGAGTGGGACATTTCTATAGCCATTGGCATCTCTCTCTTGCTATGCTCTTTGATAGGAGAAAATAATTCCATGGTTCTTATGCTTTGTTAGACTTGTGGTGCTTTGCTCTGATATCCTTTTTGATGATTTTGTGCTGTAAATTTGCCAAAGAGTTAATCCCTCTCCTTCTCGCAACATAAGGTTGTTCTTGAGCCTGCAGATTATTAAATCTGATTATTAAAGCTCGCAATTCAGAAGAGAGGAATTCTGCTTTTGGCTCAGGGGATAACATGATGTCGTAGCTTTTCCATCAAGTCTTTTAAGTTCTTGGTGTTTTAAGAGCCCTGTTTTTAAAACAAGGACACTTAACAGAATTTTTCAGTAGTTTATAAAGTTAATGAATTCGTAAATTGAATTTTTACATCATAGCTGAAATGTTGTGTTTAACATACCTGATTAAAGAACATTCTATATAATGTAAGTTAGCAATACTTAACAGAAGTGCCCTGCATGTGAACATGTCTTAAAAAACTTTTCATAAAATACGTATTTGTGATTTTTACTTATACAGTATTTTACTCTCTTCTATCAAATACTTTTATCTGTGTTAGAACTTCCAGTTAGCTATTAACTGTATTTATCAGCAATGGCTTGTGTTTTACAATAAAAAGATGCTGATTGGATTGATGGTCATTATAATCATTATCTTCTAATGTGGGAGTTGTGCTCAGAAAGCAGTTTACCAAAATGATGTTGTGTATTTATGAATGAAGTACGCTTATTTGACGTGAAAGCGGCTTATACATTTGACCCCCTGCCTTCTATTCCAACAAAGAAGCCACTCCAAGCCATCTTGGGGTGTCAGAAAGGAGGGTTGGACAAAACACTGCTCTGAAATTAAGGAACTTGAATTCTTTCATCTGCATGTTCAAGTTCCACATAGTAACATTTTTCAAGATCTTCTGACTTTCATAAGTTTGTAACTAGATATGCAGTAAGTTGATCTTCATATATCAAGGTTGTTATTACGGCTACCTCTGTGATTGTTGCTTCTACTTAGTTCACAAATAAGACCATTCTCAGGTTGTTATATTTAGCTGGTGCAGGGGTCCCTACCTTGATGATTAGAGTTCCCATTATCTTTTGCTTGTGGAAGTTTCTTTTCCTATATTCTAACTATGGATCTGTAAATGGATCTAGAAGACAATAAACTCATCCAATTTTTTTATGTCTAGGCCAAGCATCACTGTGAAACCTCTGTTCAATTTTAGGGCACATGGCTTATTGGACTTTGTGATGTTTCACCCCATGTTTTACTTATGTTGTCTCCAGATGTAGCTTTATTCTGTACATTCTCCTGCCTTGCATCTACACAGCAAGTAGGTCAGTAGTCCTTACACTGTGAGGGGCTGCCTTTTATGCTCACGGGATGTACCTATCCTCTGGAGAGGAATGGAGTGTGAATATTCAAAGGTTGCTTTTTGGTTTGGGCAGCCTTGTTATAGGATGTCTGTGGTCTCCAGATGAGAGGTCAATCTCTCGGTTCCCTCTTAGAGGTATTCCCAGTTCTATGGTCAGACGCGCTGATCTGTGCATTTCTCGTTCTCATTTCTGACACCTTTGAGTTACTTGCTCTGATTTTTCTCATAATTTCCTAGATTGCTTTCTGGATTTCATCTGCATGGAAAGATTAATCTCGTAGTTTTCTTTCTAAATTACATGCCTCTGAAGTGAAATTTGTTTCATGCCTACCACATCCAAGAATTCTCTCTTTTTGTGGCCACAAGTCCACAGGTTTTACAAAATCAATGCAGTTTGTGTCCATTGCTGAAGGACAAGAGTCAAGTACTTTGTTCAGCAGTTGTCTTCATTCTTCATGGACTGGGTGAAGACTTGAAGTGAAACAAAATGTCACTGACACTGATCTGGCTGTGGTAGAGCATGCTGCAATCCTAACAAGGGGACATTTTGGAGAAGAATTTTTAATCCCAGGGTCTGATGTTGGGCCGCATGAAGCTCCGTTCATGTCTTAATTCGGCATTCTGTTGTCTCGGAAGCTTTGAGGACTGATGCAGTACTTGGTACGGTGTCTCTGCAGTTTCTCTTGGCATGACAGGCTGTTCGTGAAATGTTTAGTCACTTGTAGTTTGAGTATACCTGTAGACTTTCACTTGAAGAAAGGAAGGTTATTTGCTAGTAAACAGAGTTCTTCTGTTGTGAAATCTGAACCTGTGTTTGCCTCTTATCTTTCCTCTCTTCCCTCAACTCTTCGAGGTTTTAAATTGCATCCCTGGGTAAAATGAAAGTGCTGTCTTTGTTGGTCATATGCCAAGTAGGGAGGATTTGGGAAAGGGAAGGCATGAGCCCGGGAAGCAAGTTCTTTGGTCAGTGGTGATAGGGAGTGTGTGTGGCAGCTCCGCATTCAGAATTCACATTATACCTCACGGCAGGATTGCATCTGGTGGAAACAAACAGGCATTGGCGTGGCTGAAGTGTTTCAGATTGCCACACCAGCCTTCCAGGGAGTTTTATGTTGTGATTTATCTGTAAAATGAAACCAGAAATGTTACATCTTTAATTTCCCTCTGGTTTAGTTTTTATTTCCCAAATAGATGATTTCTGTTTCAAAATCTTGCTTAAACGGGAAAATGTTTAAGTGTGCAGCAGAATAAGAATGTCCAAAACTTTTAGACATTCTATTCCTGTTTTCCTTTTTCTGAGATGCAGGAATATCCCTTCCAAGTTATAATGCAATGATTTAATAGCTGTGTCTATTGCTATTTTTTTAAACAGTAGCTTAACAAAGTCTCTATACTGTGGCTTAGTCGTGCGTTAGTTAGTGTTGCTTTAGGGCCTTGGATTTTGTTTCATTTTGGTTTTCATTTTGGTTTTGTTATGTAAAAAATAAACCTTACCTTTTGAGTCTCTTAAAGGTAAATTATTCTCTGAAGTTGCGTGTTGTTCTTTGCAGACTATAGAAGAAGCCTAGAGAATTAGTTCGGTATAAGTGTATTTTTTGGATAGTAAGAGCCAAGTAAGATAAATACCATGCATTGCTCTCAATAGAAATGACACTGTCGCAACACAGACTACAAACTAGGCATGTACTAATGACAAAGTATTGAATATAAATCAGCAGTTCATCTGAGTATAGTTGGCCATTCATTTTCATCTGTACATCATGAACCTGAATTAAAAGTTGTGTGTTTCTACCTGAAGACACTTATTTCTTTGGAGATGTGGGGGCAAGATGATAAATTATTCTTTAGTATCTTCTCATTAGGTGACAGTATCTGGCCAGTATCATGAGTATCTATGACTATAGGTTAGAATAGAGTAGAATAGAATAGAACATTTCAGTTGGAAGGGACCTACAATGATCACCTAGTCCAACTGCCTGACCACTTCAGGGCTGACTAAAAGTTAAGGCATGTCATTAGGGCATTGCTCAAATGCCTCTTAAACCCTGACAGGCTTGGGGCATTGACCACCCCTCTAGGAAGCCTCTTCCAGTGTTTGACCACCCTGTTGGTAAAGAAATGCTTCCTAATGTCCAGTCTAAACCTCCCCTGGAGCAGCTTTGAACCATTCCCATGTGTCCTGTCGCTGGATCCCATGGCGAAGAGATCGGCACCTCCGTCTCTCCATGTCCCCTCCTCGGGAAGCTGTAAAAAGCAATGAGATCGCCCCTCACTGTCCTTTTCTCCAAACCAGACAAGCCCAAAGTCCTCAGCTGCTCCCCACAGGACATGCCTGCCAGCTTTGTTGCCCTCTGGACGCATTGAAGGACCTTCACATCCTTCTTAAATTGTGGGACCCAGCACTGCCCACAGTACTCAACATGAGGCTGCCCCATATGCAATTTAACAGGATTTTAAATTGCTTTTTAGGAAATAAGTGCAGAAAATCTGCTGTTATGTGAATAAAGTTACTGTGCAAGCATTAGAAAGATTGAAACCTTAGCAGCATGCAGTGATGTACAGTAGAATCATAGAATCATAGAATCATAGAATCATTATGGTTGGAAGAGACCTCAAAGATCATCAAGTCCAACCGTACACCTGATGCCACCCAGTCAACTAAACCATGTCTTGAAGTGCCACATCTAGACGTTTTTTGAACGTCTCCAGGGACGATGACTCCACCACCTCCCTAGGGAGCCTGTTCCAATGCCTATGTTCTAATGCCAAGTAATGTTGAGCTTCTGACTGCTGATAGTCACATTTAAGAAAGCTACCATTGACATAGAGGACCTTATCATTCTAAACAGGGCGTGAAATGAATTTGTAATGCTTAATGAAGGACGATGAAGTGTGACTAAACATCTGATAAAAGATTCTAAAGTTGAAGTCTGTGTGTGGGTTTAATACCCAAGTATATAGCACTACCTAATTTAATGGTACAAACATGCAGATCGCATCTGTCAGGACTGCCAGGCATTGCATCTCTTCTCTGCCAGAGCTGGCTGCAGAATGTCCAGTCAAATGAGCTGAAGTCTGGTACTGCCATTAGGGACCGAAGGCTGCTGAATGTTCTTCTGATTGGCATCATCTAGTAGGTTTACTTTATTTTTTTCATTTAGGTATATGCAGCCTACCTCTCCACAGGAAAATGGCTTTATGTCACATTGTTTCCCCTAAAACTCATTTCCAAATGCCTATAAAAAGATGACTCAACAGGTCAAAAAAATACTAAAATCTGTTTAAATGGAACATTATTTACAACTTAAAACTAAGAGTTATGCTACAGGTATTTCCTTTTAGTTCTGTTTATTTCTTTACTAATTTTTCTGATACCTCTTTCTGACCCTTTTTTTTGTATTTCATTCTTATGTTTTGCCTAATGGATATCAACCTAGTTGCAGTGTGCAGAGCATTTAATTATTTTTTATTTCCATTGACAGTTGCTTGCCTCTGGTCTCCCAAGGTCTTTGTATTCAGAAAATAAAACTTCTTTTACATGATGTAGCATAAATGAATATTGCTAAGATTCTTACTGTTACTTAGTAGGAAAAAGCATACAAAGAATAAGAGTTCTCCCTCCTCTTTTCTCTTTATCTGAGACACAGACCAGAGATGTTTATTGAATTTCTTATCGTTTTCCTTTCCCTATGCAGATCAAGATATATACTTTTTTTAAAAATATATTTTTATTTAAAGGTTCAGAACGTTATTTGTAGCTGGTGAGCACTGTGATGTGGACACACTAGAATGGTCGAAAAAGGTCTTCAAGGTACCTGTGTTGGACCACTGGTGGCAAACTGGTGAGTATTTTGAAATACTGTTTGTAAAATATGGTGAGATGTTTTCAGACTTGTTTCCTGAGTCTGCAGGTAGAACTGTTTTCTGTTTCCATGAACATTTAAATAGGCAGGACCAAATGTAAAAATAAACATTCAAGCAGGAAGAATGTTTTTTGGAGGTGGTCTAAAAAAGGGACTTCAGAATATATTTAAAACACATCATTTTTAAAAGCTATATAGAAAAAAAAGGTATTTTCTGATGCTCGTGTTTAAAAAAGAAAAAAAAAATGTTTGCACCAGTATTTTTTCCAGGTGTATTTTTGTATTGTTTGCATGTGTGACTATTTTGTGACAGAAAATTTGGTATTTAGCTTTCAGGTTTAAGTTAAGTTTTTTTGTACATACATTTTGTGTAATTAAAAAAAAAATAATCTGCAGCACAGAGTAGACTCCTTGGTCTTTAATATTGTTCTGTATGGATCTCGTCCAACTCCTATTGATTATTTTGGAATGTCTCCCATTTGTTTCACGGGAGGAGAATTAGATACTTAGACTTCAGTGAAGGAATAGGAGTACCAATCTATGTGTAACTTGGCAAAAATCCCTGCTCAATTCTGGATTAAGGCTTGATCAAATGTATCTCCTTATGACTGTGGATTAATATATTTTTAAATTTCACTGTTACAAGATGAGATTCAGATTTTGCTTTTTACACACATTATTGCTATTTAAGCTAAGGAAGGGTATTACAAAAGCTTCCTCCTCCCCTCCCTTCTCCACTCCCTTCCAAGAATACCTCTTCTATTTTCTGTGCATCATTATTTTGAGATGCAGATTTTCTCTGGTCTCTCTCTCTATGGAGAAAAACATTTTGATTCCCCTGTGATGGGTCAGGTAGCAGATATATAAGATTAGAATAAAAAGTGGGAATCTCTTTAGTTCATCTATAATATTTGTTAGGTAATGAAATCAGTTGAGCAGGTTTAAAATGCATCATTTTTTAAGGTTGTGGGTTTTTTTTTTTATAATACTGAGAAAATACTTGAAGATAGTAGTGTCATTTTTTATTTATCTTGATTTACTCTACTAGTTAATTGATAAATATGAGAGACAAGACCTATATTCTGCTTACTTCTCTGTGATCCTAATATCTGTTGGCAAGAACAGGCATGAGTGCTAGAGCATGAACAATTAACTGAAAAAGGTTAAAAGATCAAATTGTGTCTTTGACTACCTACTCAACTGGCAGTAAGCAATATTATTGTATGTAATTTTGCATGTGTTTTTATCTGTCTATGTCTGTGGACATGTATATATATAATTGTCTATAACTTTGACATATATTCAGTGCAAAGGTTTAATGTTACTGCGTTCGTTCAGATGTATCTCAGGTGTCAATGAGAGATCTTAAACAAGCATGTGGATATAATTGCACTCACAGTGTGTAGAGGTAAGATGGTGTTAGAGAGACTTTTCAAAGAAGACCACGAGCCCAGCTCAGAGTACAGGGTTTTTTTTAATTATTTTTATATTCACGGCATGCTCTTAAATTAAATTGTAGCAGGACTCAATGAGCGAAGGCCATTTCAATTACAGTGTTTGAGAGCATTTAATAATTTGATTGAATAAAGACCCATTTTTATTTCCAAGTGATTTCTGTAGAAGTGTGTGCTGTTGCATGCAAGCAAGGCATTCGGTGTGAAGGAAAAAATTTGCTGAGTCAGAGAATTGAATTTCAAGGGATAAGGAGAAAAAAGGAAGGAAGAATCACAGAATCACTGAGGTTGATGAGGACCCCCTGGGGTCATCTAGTTCAACCCACCTCCTCAAGCAGGGTCAGAGAGAGTGTTGCCCAGGATCCTGTCCAGTTTTGACTATCTCTGTGAATGGGGATTTCCCAACCTCGGTGGGCAGCCTTTGCCAATATTTTACCCCCCTCATAGTAAAAACATTTTGTCTTGTGCTCAGCTGGAATATCCTGTGTTTTAGTTTGTGCCTGTTGCCTCTTGTCCTGTTAGTGGGCACCACTGAGATGTCTGGCTGCCTCTTCTTCATTCCCTCCCATCCAGTATTTATACGTACTGATAGTATCTCCCCTGAGCCTTTTCCAGACTGAACAGTCCTAGCTCTTTCAGCCTTTCCCCATATAAAAGATGTCTCTTTTCCTGGTTATTCTCCGGATTCTCTCCAGTAGCTCCATCTCTTGTACTGGGGAACCCAGAACTAGCCCCTGCAGATTTCGTCCCACCAGTGCTGAGTAGAGAGGAAGGATCATCTTCCTCAACATGCTGACAGCATTCTTCCTTTTGCAGCCCGGGGTGCTGTTGGCCGCCTTTGCTGCGAGGATGCATTGCTACCTCATGGTCATCTTGCTGCCCACCAGGATCCTAAGGTCGTTCTCTGCAGATTCTTTTCTTTCCAGCTGGCTCGTCCCCAGTGTGCAGTGGTGTCTGCAGTTATTCCTCCCCAGATGCTGGACTTCGTGCTTCCCTTTGTTGAACTTCATGAGGTTTCTGTTGACCTATTTCTCCAGCCTGTCGAGACACCTCTGAATGGCAGCATACCCATCTGACATAGCAGCCACTCCCGATTTTACATCATCTGCAAGCTTGCTGAGGGCACAATGTTTCCCATTGTCCAGGTAACTAATGAAGAAATTGAATAGTATTGGCCTCACTATCAACCCCTGGGGTGCACCGCTAGTGATTTGCCTCCAAAGGGACTTTGTGCCACTTGTCACAACCCTCAGGGCCTGGCTGCTCAGACAGTTCTCATTCTGCCTTGCTGTCCATTTATCTAACCCATACTTTGTCAGCTTATCTATGAGAATGTTATAGGAGGCAGTGTCAAAAGCCTTACTAAGGTGGAGGTAATCAATAGCCACTGCTGTCTCCTCATCCACAAAGCTGGTCACGCCATTGTAGAAGGGAATCAGGTTGATTAAGATTTCCCCTTCATAAATCCATGCTGGCTACTCCTGGTCACCTTCTTGTCCTTTGTGTGTTTGGAAATGCTTTCCAGCATTAGTTACTTCATCATCTTTCCAGAGTGTTCCCTGGATCTTCCTTCTTGCTTTTCTTGAAGAGAGGACTGACATTTGCTGTCTTCCAGTCTTCAAGAACCTCTCCCAGTCACCATGACTCTTGTAAGGTAATCAAGAATGGCATTACAATGACATCAGCCAGCTTCCTCAGCACTTATGGGTGCAACTCATGAGGCCCCATGGAGGAACCCATGTTTAAGTACTCCCTGACCTGATCTTCTTCCACCAAGGGTAACTATTCCTTGCTCCAGGATCCCTCTGGTCTTGGGTGTCTGGGAATCCTGAAAGTCAATCTTACGAGTAAAGACTGAGGTGAAGATGACCATTCAGTACCTCAGCCTTTTCTGTGACCTTTGCCACCAGATCCCCTGTCCTGTTCAGCAGCAGGCTCATGTTTTCCCTACTCTTCCTTTTGCTGTTTATATACTTATAGAATCCTTTCTTGTTGCCCTTCATGTCCTTTGCCAGATTCCACTTCAGGTGAGCCTTGGCTTTCCTAACCCCATCCTACGCAACTGGACGACCTCTTTATACTCCGTCTGGGTCATCTGCCCCTACTTCCACCTCTTGTACACTTCCTTTCTACGTCTGAGTTCAGTCAGGATCTCCTTGCTCATCTGTTCAGGCCTCCTGCCTTTGATTTGCTGTTTGTCAGGATGTACTTCTCTTGAGCTTGGACGAGGTGATCCTTGACTATAAACCCGCTCTCCCAGAACCCTCTTCTCTCTCTATCCCATGGAATTTTTCTAAGCAGATCTCCGAAGAGATTAGTCTGCTGTCCTGAAATCCAGGGCTGTGGTCCTTCTTTTGCCTTGCTCCCTCTTCAGAATCCTTAACTCCACTGTCTCGTGGTCACTGCAGCCAAGGCTGCTCCTGAGCATTTCTTGTTTGTAAGCATGAGGTCCAGCAGAGCACCTTTCCTTACTGGCTCCTTGATCACCTTTGTCAGGAAGTCGTCATCAGTGCACTGCATAAATCTGGGTTGCTTGTGCCCTGCTCTGTTGTCCTTCCAGAAGATATCAAGGTGCTTAAGTTCCCCATCAGGATGAAGGCCTATGAATGTGAGACTTCTTCCAGAAGGCCTCATCTACAGGCCTCATCCTGGTCGGGAGGTCTCTGGCAGATACCCACTACCACAGCGTGAATGTTGGTCTGCCTGATGGTCTTCACTCCAAAGTTCTTGACTGGCTCCTGACCTGACCTCTGGCAGGGCAGAGCCCCTCTCACGTAAAGTGCAACACCCTCTCCTTGCCTCCCAGGAATAGGAAAAAGTGCTTAATAGAATACAAGCTAATAAACTAGATCTGTATAACTTTTAAAATAGAGAACAGTCAGGTCTGGTAAGTGAAATGAAATCAAAATGCTTCTCCCCACACCGTCCTGTGTTGCTGAACTTCCCTTGAGGTGAACATGCTCAGATGCTCGGGGGAAGAAGTGGGTCCTCCTCCATCTGAAAGGTTTCGCTTGTCCCAGAGCACAGCAGCCAGGGCAGCAGACAAAAGCAGCCTTCCCTGCTGCTGTTCAGTCATCTCTTTTTTAGCAGAATACAAAACGTATCCCATTAACTATGAAAAAACAAGCAGTTATGTCACATTCAACTGTGTCTGTCACTTGGTAAAATATTGTTGAAGGAGGATTTCTGTGCTGGAAAAGCCTTTTCAATCCAATGCTACTGGATTTCAGTATACTAGATTAAAGCTGTATGTGCTGAATGTGAAATATTTTACAGAGTAGATAACTGGCTGTTTCATTTCATATTAGAAATATGCAAGGTTAGTGACTGATGACAGAATAGATGACGCAAAAATTCAGAAATCACAGTTTTCCGAACTACCTCTAGAATAAAAAATAACAACTAGAAGCATAGAATAAAAAATCCTAATTGCATCTAGCAGGAAGAGGTTGAGACAATTACCTATTTTATGTACAGCTAGTAAGTTTTTTAAATGGATTTTTTAATAACAAAATTCAATTCAAA